AAAATCGAGCCTTTAGAAATCCTACCTTTATTTGACTAAGTTATTTCTTTAACCTTTGCCACTGGTGAAGAGTTCCAGCCATATCATTTACTGTGCTCACTACACAGGACAGCCCAGGGTTACTGTTGCAGGAGCAAATATCCTAACCTCCTTTTTTTTTTTTTTTTTTTTAGGTTTATTTATTTATTTTTGAGAGAGAGAGAGAGAGAGAGCACAAGCAGGGGAGGGGCAGAGACAGAGGTAGAGAGAGAATCCCAAGCAGGCTCCATCCACACTGTCAGCATGGAGTCTGACGTGGGGCTCGATCTCATGAACGTGAGATCATGACCTGAGCCAAAATCAAGAGTCAGATGCTTAACCAGCTGAGCCACCCAGGCACCCCCCTAATCCCCTTTTATGCCTGGTAGCTTTCAGAGCCCAAAATGACCAGATAACAATCTCAGCTTTGAATTAAATGATTACTCACATTTGTTGAAATTAATATGGAAGGATTCTTCTATTGAATGATACATCTCCAAGCTCTCAAGGGCCACAGTGATTATTATGGGAAGAAGCAATTTTCAAGTGGATGGTCATGGAAGTACCTCTCACATCAGGTGCTTGATAACAAGATGGACACTTAGGCTCAAGTTTACCTAGTTTCTTAGGTAACAACTAAGAAACCGTGGTGATTTCTTTTCTCTACTTCACAGTTACATAACTAACTTTGCTTTTGTAATTTTGTATTCTTTTTCTAAAGGCAGATCCTGTCCATGAATATTCCATCTACCTCTTAACATCTTTGCACCTCATTTCTGCCTTATTCATGCATTCTTTCCTAATACTGTCTCAATTTTTAGATATTAAAATGACATTTGGTTGAATTCTGGCAATTGCTAATGGCTTTCACTATATGGTCACTGAATATACCTACAATGCCTAGGTTCCTTACATGAAATTCTGGTTCTGTTGGTGTAGGATTATATTCTGGGCACCCGAAAAACCACTTCAAAGTCAATTTTGGGTAGAAGCACAATTACCATTTCCCTTTCTCTGGTTTCCTAAGTTCCTCCATGATTCACAGCCCTGCCTCTCAGATGGGGCAAACTATTCCTCCCTATTCTACAACCGTAGCCACTCAGATAGACTCATTTTACGTTCTCTGTTGTTCACAGAGAAATCGTGAAGTTACAGAAATGCGAGTGAAGATGTGAAGCGTTGTGCTTCGGGGGCGTAAAAGGTAGCATTATGTTAAAATGAGATGCATCTCAAGGCTTTCTGCACTTACAGTGGCGGTGTGAACAGGAGAGGTTGGTTCACTCAGGCAGGACACCAGAACCACTGCTGGTATAGAGGTTTTCTATGGGCAAGGTGGTGGGGGGTTGAGAGTGGCTTGCACATGATGATGAATAAAAAGGAAGCTACTAAAGGTCCAAGTTTTCAAAATTGTGTTTTGCAAAAGAAAGTTTTTATTTGGAAATAATTTTAAACCTGCAGAGAAGTTGTGCAAAGTTGGACAAAGCACACTTACGTACTCTTTATCTGGGTTCACCTAGGAAAATTTTGCCCTGTTTGCTTTGACATTTGCTCTCTCTCTCTCTCCATCTTTATCGATATGAGAATATAATTTTCTTCCTGAACCATCTCAGAGTAAGTTGTATACATCATGGCCCATTAGCCCTAAACATCTCAGTAATTTAATACTGACACAAAACTTTTACCATCTACCACTCATATTTCCATTTTGTCGATTGGCCCAGTAATACGTTCCATTCTAAAACCACACATTTCCTTTAGTTGTCTTGCCCTTCAGTCTTCTTTATTCTGGAAAGGTTCTTCAGTCTTTTATGACACAAACATTTTTGAAGACTGTAACCTTCCCACCTCCTGCCTTTCAAAAATAGAATGTTTCTCAACTTGGTATTATCTGAAATTTCTTCATGATTAGATTTGGTTATGCATTCCTGACTGGAATACCATATACATCTTATCGTGTGCCTCTCAGAATATCTCTCCAGAGGTATATGTGGCCATGTCCTCCTCAATCAACATCATTAGTGATGTTGATTTGATTACCCAGTCAAGGTTTTATTTGATTGCTTCACTGGATAGCTACTATTTTTATTTCTCTTGCAACTAATAAGGAGTCAGTAGGAGATGACATTTTATACCATATAAATACCAGATTCTCATCAAAATTCTTCTCCACTATTCTAAGATTTAGCATCAATAGATGATTCTTGCTTTAGTCAATATTAATGTGATGCTTCCACAATTATGATGTTCCAGCTCTAGCACTTTCTCTTCTATGTCAGTAGTGCTTGGTATTCTACTGTAAGGAAGAGCCCTTCTTTATCTATCTATCTATCTATCTATCTATCTATCTATCTATCTATCATCTATCTATCTATCATCTATCTATCTAATGTATCTATCATTAGCATGGCTTTATAGATTCCCTTTCCCCACACAACACACCCATTTGCAACCTTTTATTCTCCCTCATTATTTTGGCACGCAAATTATCCAAATTTGACTAGTGGGAGTCTATTCAAGTTAGCAAAGGTGTCTTTATAAAATGCCAACATTAAAAAAAATCTCTGTCTTAGTTTCTGATATAAAAATATATTCCAGTTTATTCCTATACCTTCCCTGTCCCATCACTTGGATGAACCATGTTTTTTTGTTTTTTATTTGTGTTTATTTGTTTTTTATTTTACTGGTGAAAAGTATTAAGCACAAAGATGTGGGTCTTAGGAGTACTTGTTACTTCTCAAGGGTCTTTGCTTCTATGGAAGGACACATTTTAAGACCTTCTATAGGACTGAAATCTGTTATTCTAAGGTCCAAGTATGAAGACCTGAAGAAGGGCTCAGGGTTTTTTTGTTTTTTTGTTTGTTTGTTTTTTGGTTTTTTTTGTTTTTTGTTTTGCACAGTAGAAGCATTACTTGGACACCAATGAAATGGCGGGGGGGGGGGTTGGTTAAAGGTTGGGGAGGATATTATCTTTTACATAGACACTCAGACTTTCAGGTAGGGCATCATCTATGGTGGCAATGGTAAAATTCCTTTAGTCAGATTGAGAATAAAATAAGAGATATGGTAGACTTTATCAGGATAGCTGAGGAAGAAGAAGAAAACACAGAGCATGTCAAATGGAGATTTTATTGGGTAGACTAACTTGTGAGTACATGGATGCACTCAAGTGGGGAATCCCAGGAGTAAAGATGGGGCATAGATTTACGCCATTAAACCAGTGAGGGCCTAAATAAAGCATTAAACTGAGAAATAAAAGGAAAAATGAATTGACTTAAAACACCCAGAATGGCAAAGGCTGAAAACACCATGGGTGTATACCCCTGCCTCCCACACCCCCCACACCGACATACCCCTGTACACAAACACTTAAAATTTACAGACTAGTGAAATCTACTACTTGGAGAGTATAGATAAATAGATAAAAGGTATACACACCTATATGTATGCATATAGCTTTTTCTTTTTTTAAAAAATTTTTTAACCTTTATTGATTTTTGAGAGAGAGAGAGAGAGAGCATGAATGGGGGAGGTTCAGAAAGAGATGGAGACACAGAATCCGAAACAGGCTCCAGGCTCTGAGCTGTCAGCACAGAGCCCGATGTGGGGCTCAAACTCACGGACTGTGAGATCATGACCTGAGCCGAAGTCGGACACTCAACCAACTGAGCCACCCAGGCGCCCCATGCATATAGCTTTTTCTAGGATCCTTCACTTTCACAGAGGCCAGATCTATGATATGGGATACATGGCAATACAAATACTCCACTCTCTAGTTCAAACATTAAGATTTAGATGCAAGATTATACCTTTTCATGATTAAATAAAGTAAAAATTAATTATTCACTGTTATTTGGTGAGATCTGCAAACTGTTTTAAGACCGTGTGTCTCAGGATTAAAAGAAAAACTCTCAGATACCTAAAGAAAGAAACTTATTGTCTATTTGAACTTTGGGTAACTTTGCTTGAATCCATTCCTGCCAGAGACGTGACTAATCTACAAATTAGATCCAGTGTACTCCAGGGAGTGCCTACTTCTCTATGCTAGTTTTACAACTATACTATTTTGTTTAAGAATGGGGAGGTGAAGGTCTAGAGGAATTATTGTTTAATCAGTCTTATCATCTAGGGGAATTATTGTTTATTTCAAACAATCTTATCGAATTTAGACATCTGACACTAGCTATTAGCCTGGAAAATACTTACACACAAATTATATTAGTATCACTTTCTAAGAATAGTTCTGCAAACCATCTCAAGCTGTCCAAACCATGAGTAAATAAAAAAGAAAAAAAAACACACCCAAACTCTGAAAATATAAGCAATAGAAGAAGCGTGTTACCTAAGTAAGTTACCAAGCTATTATGAACAAATGTTTCCTCGGTCTTCACATGCTATACTATAGGGATTTTGAGGTCATAATTTGAAGACGTAATTTATTTTTCCCTTCTTGAAAAAATGGAGTATAGCTTGTCATTACTGCTGAAGTAGCTACTCAGGGGAGATAACTTAGTGAATATAACTCAACCTTTGGTAGCCTAATTATTTCTCAACTCAGGTGGTTACAGGTGAAATTTCGAAGGTAAAGTCACACAAAAAAGGGGATTTTTCTAATGATGAGCCAATTACATTTTAATATGTATTAATCTATTATTATCTGATATCAATCTAATACCTAAGATGTACATATATATCGTTGGACTAAATGTATTGCCAATTATTTGTTTTGTACTATACTTGACTATAATTTAATGGCTTTCTGAAACAAGTTCCCACTCTAAATATATTAAAAACATGGGGATACTTTTTAGAAAGATCAAGGGGTGGTAGTTAACATGCCAAAAAAAAAAAGGTAGAAAATTACTAGCCTCCATTTTAACCGGATATTTTCCCCCTCCTAGACACTCTTGAAATTAACCTCTTCTTGTTTTAAATCGTTTAAATAGGGAATTTGACAACTTTAAAGTAATTCAAACCACAGGGCAATGGTGAACAATTCCGCCCAAGCTGCAGCTGTGGAACTTTGCTATGAGAATGTGAATGGATCCTGCATTAAAACCTCGTACTCACCGGGTCCTCGAGCAATTCTGTACACAGTCCTTGGTTTTGGGGCTGTGCTGGCCATGTTTGGAAACTTACTGGTTATTATTGCTATCCTTCACTTCAAACAGCTGCACACACCTACAAACTTTCTGATCATGTCCCTGGCCTGCGCTGACTTCTTGGTGGGGGTGACTGTCATGCCCTTCAGCACAGTGAGGTCTGTGGAGAGCTGCTGGTACTTTGGGGAGAGTTACTGTAAATTTCATACATGTTTTGATACTTCCTTCTGTTTTGCCTCTTTATTTCATTTATGCTGTATCTCCGTTGATAGATATATTGCTGTAACTGATCCTCTGACTTATCCAACCAAGTTTACTGTCTTGGTATCAGGCATATGCATTGTTCTCTCTTGGTTCTTTTCCATCACCTATAGCTTTTCCATCTTCTACACTGGGGCCAATGAGGAAGGAATCGAGGACTTGGTTGTTGCTCTCACCTGTGTAGGAGGGTGTCAGGCGCCACTGAATCAAAATTGGGTTCTACTTTGTTTCCTTCTATTCTTTATACCCGCTGTCGCCATGGTGTTTATATATGGTAAGATCTTTTTGGTGGCCAAACATCAGGCTAGGAAGATAGAAAGTTCAGCCAGCCATCCTCAGTCTTCCTCAGAGAGTTACAAAGAACGGGTAGCAAAGAGAGAGAGAAAAGCTGCTAAAACATTGGGTATTGCTATGACAGCATTTCTTGTCTCTTGGCTGCCATACATTATTGATGCCGTGATTGATGCTTACATGAATTTTATAACTCCTCCTTATGTTTATGAGATTTTAGTGTGGTGTGTTTATTATAACTCAGCTATGAATCCCTTGATATATGCTTTCTTTTACCCATGGTTTCGGAAGGCAATAAAACTTATCATAAGTGGTAAAGTCTTAAGGAGAGATTCGTCAACAATCAATTTGTTTTCTGAGGAAGCAGATATAGAGTGACAAGATGGCTGCAGGGATTTGGAAACTAACATGGAATTAAGGTCAAGTGTGAAATTAAGCACTTCAATCAAGAGAGGCAAGTGTAATCATTTGCCAAGTGGGAGGATATTATATTCAACATTTAGTTGTTCTAAAGCATTTGTTGTCCTTATGTACTTCAGCATTTTTTTTTTGAATTTAGTTATAGGCAAAAAAAAAAAAAAATCCTGATTACTTCCTATTTAGTATTCTTAGTTTTCCTCTATGGGTTTCTAATTTCTATGGTAATTTCTAACATCTTCTCTGAATTTCCTACTTGTTTCTTCAAACAATTTGAAGCTTTGTAGTTTCTCCCACATTCATTACCAATGTTCAGAGAAGCAAAAGAAGAGTTTCTGCCTAACTTGTAAGTTAGATGCTTTAGGGACAAAAATCTTTTTTTTTCTTTTAAAGTTTATTTATTATTTACTTAGAGAGAGAGAGAGAGAGAGAGAGAGAGAGAGAGCTGGGAAGGGGCAGAGATAAAAAGGAAAGAGAATCTCAATCAGGCTCCATGCTGTGAGAGGGGAGCCCCATGCAGGACTGATGACCTGAGCTGAAACCGAGTCAGATGCTTAACCCACTGAGCCACCCAGGCACCCTGGGGCCAAAATTCTCTTTAAAATATACTTTGTTTGAAAAGTAAATACAAGATTAAAATTCTTGGAACTTTTTTTAGTCTAAAAGGACTTTGTAGAGAGTTGAAATATGGAATTTCCTAGTCACTGAACATTGTGCAAAAAACCCTGGAACTCCTGTGTTTTCTGAACCCTGACAGTGCTTTGTCTCCATTTCACAGAGGCTGCCTTCACAAAAAGCGTGTGTGATGATTATGTGATTACACACTACATCTTACTTTTGGGTAACATAATTTATTACAATCAAAAAGCAGGTGAACAAAAAAATGGTTTCTGGACTTCTTGTTTAGAAATTTGGAGTAAAATATGTATAATTTTCACAGTCACAAATGTGTGACTTTTGAGTCCTTTCTTTGCACCAGACACTGTATTTGACATTGGAAATATAAAGCTGAGTGACCCAAATATAACCAAGTATTATTTTGGAATAGCTAACACCCAAACTGGCATTATACACTTTAGGAATAGCTCCAGTTTTCTCATATGATAGCGTGTCTTAGCCACATGAATTTTAAAAAATATATGTTTATTTATTTTTGAGAAAGAGAGAGAGACAGAGAGAGACAGAGACAGAGTGTGAGTGGGGGAGGGGCAGAGAGAGAGGGAGACACAGAATCTGAAGCAGGCTCCAGGCTCCGAGCTGTCAGCCCAGAGGCTGACGGGGAGCTCGGACCCACGAACGGTGAGATCATGACCTGACCTGAAGTCGGACGCTTAACTGACTGAGCCACCCAGATGCCCCTTAGCCACATGAATTTTAATTCATTTTAACTAAAAGAATATATGTTGACTATTTTAAGGTACAGTTAAAATTTGAAAGAAACTAATAATAGGGTGATTCATCTTCTCAAATCTTTGATTCACAGCCTTAAATCTTTGCTTATTTTCACAGACTATTCTGTACAAATCTGTTTTATGAAATGAAAAGAAGAGATAGCTAAGTAAATAGAGGTACATAAACTTTACATGTTACAGATTTTGTAAATAAATTTGTTTGGAAATATTTTATATGAAATTAAGCTGTTTCATATTGGCATGTTAATATCTTTCAGACAGAGCTCAGAGAATTTGGGGGGAAGTTAAAGATAACTTAAAGAGGATGAAAGGAATATGAATGAATGCCTTTGTAGCATAGTACCTGTTTGTGATTGAGACGGTAAAGTCAAGGAACAGGTGTATTGACCACCTTTCAAAGGCTCACAGCTCAGGTGCCCCGCCCTCATTCCTTCCCTTTGATGGTGAGTCAGGAATGTTGTCTTCATAGAAACGTGTCCTTCTCTCAAGTGCAAGTGTAAACTTACACTGACACTCATAAACAATAAGAAAAATCAATCAGGGAGGCTTAAAAATATATACTAGACTTCTGGTCACTCGCACTATGTAGAGTGTAATCTTTAGATAAAATTGCAGAAATTCTGTCCAGTGATGTTTTGAAGCTGTTGTACATATCGGCAAATGGAGAATAATACTTCAAATGTGCTCTCTCTTGTTTATTTTTCTATTCTTCTTGTAGGAAGCTTTTTATAAAAAAATAATACTGGCTTATTTTCCCCCAAATGAACTAGACCATTGCTATAGCATTACTCCCCTCCTCTACACCTCAATTATTTATACAAGTAAGCTATTAATTTCTTGGCTAGCTGCATACCAAACGGCATCAGGGCCATCGATCCATTTGAAACAAGACACATTGGAGATGGGAAACAGGCTTCATTCTGCAAGACTGTCCTCAGAGTAAAACCTGACCTTGACACTTGTTCCTGAGCTGCGTCTCTTCATCCTAATGAGCTCTGGTTCCCAAGTTGTCTGCTTCAGCCAACGGGAGGCAGCAGAACTCTTGCAAAGAACTAATTAGACCACTTATGCCCCATGTTATAGGGCACATAAATACAATGTATGTACTACTATTTAAAATACGTGTTTATTTTTAATTCATAAACTAAAAATTCACATAAAAGCCTTACTGAATCCATAATAGCTTTTGTCCACATGTATTTTTCTCAATTTAGTAAATCCTGAAAGTACGGCTGCTACATTGTATAAGGTTTTGTATAATTAAAAAAAGAAAAAAGTTGAAATGGAGAGCTGAGACATTGAAAGTCACAGAACAATAGCTGTGGTTCAGGTGATCATCAATTAGGACATCAGGAGTAAATGAGGAAATGCTGTGACAACAGTGCCCAGTTGCACTGCTGGCTCTCTGAAAGCACCTAGTCCTGGTCTATGCTGTCTTTGTAATGTGTTATTGATGGATTATTCACAGCCCTGCCACTTACTGATAAAGTTGCCCTAAACCCACCCAACATAATATTTTCTGATTAGAAATCAGAGCTCATGCAGGAATAACTGCAGGGTTCTGTGGAATGAACCACTTAGCTGGTTCAGAAAATGACGTAAGGTCAAAATAAACCCTTCGTGGAGAATAACTTCTCTAAGTGTATTCATATGAGTCAAGGAAGGCAGAAATCTAAAAATCTGAATCAAAAACTACATATATCTACATAAATAAAAGGACATGTGTATAAACTGCTTACCTTGCTTTCCTATTATGTGGATTATGAGGAGTATTTTGTTTTTCTTGCTACTATTAGTCATAGGAATAATTAATGAAGAAACCAGCTCTGCAGAAATTATATGCACTAAATGCTGGAGCTACGTATTTAGACCTCTGTCTGTCAGCCTCAAAGCCAAAGCTTTCCTACCATTGTGACCCAGCCAGAAAAACCAACAATATTTCTCAGAAATGAAAACGCATGAACTATCTTCCCAAGCATTGCTTGGGTGCTGACATATTTATTGTGTTCAAACACACACACACACACACACCCCAAATGTAAAGATAAGCCCTCAACTATGTCTCATGCCAAAGGACAAATTTCATTAGCTTCTGAGGTCTGTACTAAGCTAAGGAGTATAGACCATTTCAAAGGTAAGAACGGATAAGATCCTTGCTATGACTCATCCTGGTTGCATTTATGGGACAGGCAAATTCCACTTGAGTCCCGGCCTGCCCTGCCTCTACTTTCTACCATCTCCTAGGAGCTCCCTTTCACTGCTGGCTGGGAACAACTATTTGTGCTGTGTCCTTTCCCACCAGTAATTTGAGCTCCTAAGCAATAACCATTGGCTAAGTTAATTTAATTGTTCATATTCGAGCATTCACAATAAAACATACTATTCTCAGAGTTTCCCTTTTGAGTGGATGAAGGCCCAAGAGACACTTTAGGGGACATTCAGAGAGAAGTACTTTAGAAAAAGAATAAAAGGCTAATGAAGAGTGAAGTTCAGGTAGAATAACTTTTTGGTGTCCTTCAATTAATATAATTAGTCAAAACAAAAGTCTTCTTATTGAGAAGATTTTCATCCCTGGGCCAACGCAAGTCTGTAAGGCCACTGCTGTCTATTTTTGGTTTGCACCCACAGACTGAGACAGCTTATCCATAAACCATGCTAGGTCTTTTCATCCTCTTCAGTTTGCTGAAATGTGAGACGGAAGGGACACTGGTGCAACTGTGGTGGGTGACATGGGCTCCAGGCTCATGCTGTCCGGCTTTGCTCAGTCTTGGTTCCAGGTGTATAGTTTCCATTTCACCAAGAATTTGCCAGACCCACCCAACTTTATGACTTTGAAGATTCAAGAAGACCTACATAATCATGGCTAGTAAGACACACATGATCACTTGGTATCACAATGTCAAGTGTCCCATCACTATTTGGCCTCTATAGCACCCAAAGAGCCATCTTTCAAAAGGTGTTTTATCCTTTGCTGTAAATAGCATAGCCTTGCTCAGAACCCCAGAGGAATGCATTATATTTCTCCCACTGAAAACTTCCATAAAATCTAAACTGCATTTTTTTTTTTTTTTTTTTTTTTTTTTACCATTATGAACACCTCTAGCACCACTAGGCCACTAAATTGCATGGCAATTAACTGTAGCCCAGACCCAGACTCCAATCCCTATACAAATCTGGGATTTTTGTTTTTGTTACTCAGTATATGGACCTGAACAGTATTCCTAAGGGTGGAATAAGTTGTTTTGGATCCCGAAGAGGTCTACCAGGTAATGTGCTTCCTTCTTTGCCGTAGAAAACACAAGATTGTGCGCCATCCCATCTGAACCTAACCCATCATCTTTCCTCACCAAATTTCATCTTTCTTCTACACACTGTATGTTTCCTGTTGGCAAGTTAAAAATCTGGGAGTCATCCGTGTTTCCTGCCTCCATGATACATCCCTGGGGCCCTACATTCTTTCAGCCTTTCAATTGTGTGTTTCACATTTTCAGAAAGCAGGGAGGCAAAGTTACTGAATTACAGTGGGATGGAATCAAGTCAGGTTTGAGA